AATTCCTAAATGTATGTGTCAGCCTTGAGTTTGATTTGGTCTCTGTTGCCTAAAGTTGGCTGGTGGAGGCTGAAATAAAAAGTGCTCGAGTGTAAATCATGCGTGTTGTCTTGCTTTTTCCGGCGTAAGCTGTATACGCTACAATGTTAACTATGTGAGAAATCTGTACCACACAATTCTGATACTGGATACTGGCTTGTATACATTTAAAGGGACATTTAATAAAGTATTAAGTAAGTCTAATATAAAACTTTATTTTCATTTTCATCTTCAGATGGTCCTGATGTTGTGATTTTCGACATTTAGAATTTTTGTGAATACTATTGCTATAGTGCTGTAGGTCTTAGTTTGAATAAATGAGGACAATGAAAACAGTGAAACTAACCGTCTTCTCTTATTATTGTGGTTACCTCGCCCGGCACTGTGGCAGAAGAGCGCCCGGCTAAGGTGCACAGCAAAGGGCAGGAGGGGAGTAGTAGCAGGAGTCCACTGGGTGCACTCCAGGCTCGCTCATGCTGGGCAGGGAGGTGCGCATCTGGTGTTAAGTTTGCCACCGGGAGGAGAGTTGGCATAGCCAGCTGGGTCAGATTATGAGTGGGACCTGCAGTAGCTGCAAATACACAGCTTCACCCGAACCCACCTGACTCAGGCGGGGGTACATCAGAAGTGGTATTACAAACTGCACTGAAGAGCGATCCCCTTCAGGCCTTGGGACCTCGAACGGGAGGGCGTGGAGGAGCCCCTGGAGCAGCCAGGTCCAAATTTGATGCTGAGGGGGCAGACCACCAGACTCCACCTCGCTGCAGCATGCGCTCTGTTGGGAGCCGCAGAGGTTAGAGGATTTTGTGTGTAGCTTAGCTGAGTTATTCGACGTCGGTGGGACGCCAGACGTCTCAGATGGGGGCAGTGTGGTGGCCTCATTTGGCGTTGCGGCTGAAGAGCGCCTGGCTAATGCGTGTGGCAAAGGGCAGGACGGGAGTAGTAGCCAACCTGGGAATTAAGGGTCACTGGCCAGTGCAGTTGACTATCCTGTGTGATGTACATGTACCACAGTTGTCGGTACTGTCAATCAGCGTGTAAATAGTTATTCCCGGTTTGTACCCCTTTAGGGTG